GGGAGGAGGTTGTTTCCAAAAGGAAGTGTATTTGGACCTAAATAAGTTGCTGACGATAGAATTATTTTTGTAAAAATGCCAATTGAAGTAGCAGACAGTGCATGATAAAGAGCCTCAATAGAGGGAATTCTTAGGCCACCAAACTGCTTAGAAAGTGACATAGCATTCTAAGCAATCACATGAAGTTTCCTCTCACTAATGCGACCATGATATAAAAACCTATACCAAAGTTTAGAGATGGTTTTACGACAAGCCATGGGTATGATGTAGCGCCTTATCCAATAGGAAATTATGTTGGCAATTGTGAACTTTATGAATTGGACCCTATCTGTAAAAAAGAGAAATTTGACTTTACAACCATCAAATAGAATAAATATTTTACTTAGTAGTGGTTGGAAGTGAGTATAATTCAGTCTAGAGGGGGGGATAGAAAGCCCCAAGTATTTGAGGTAGGAGTCCACATTAAAGATCCCAAGAATGTCGCAAATTACCTCATTAGAGGTGGTATTTTGGAAAACAAAAATAGAGCTCATGTTGGGGTTAATTATAAGACTAAAGTCCCTAGAAAATAGGGATAAAGCTTCCTTTAAGGAAATAGAAAAAGTGGGAGGGGCAGCCCCAAACACAAGTAAACAAAATTACATCAGGTAATTAAGATTGACCCCAATATGGTTAAAGCTCCGAGAAGGAGGGGAAGGGTTAGAGAGTAGGAAGCATGAGAGACCATCCATCACAATGCAAAAAAGAAGAGGGGATAAGGGACAACCTTGGCGAAGCCCGAAAGAGGAGCTGAAGAAGCCCTCAAGGGAGCCATTTAAGCAAATGGAAAAGTAAACATTAGAAATGCAGCCTTAGCCAAGTTAATAAACTTCTCAGGAAAGCCATTTTGTCGTATCTTGTGTAGCAAAAAGTCATGGGACAATGAATCAAAGGCTTTCATAATATCAATTTTGAAAAAAAAAAGTTATGTAAGGAAGAGAAGTCTCTCAGCACCTCAGAAACCAACTAGATGTTATCAGAAGAACATCTTTCTTGATGAAGCCAGCTTGACTATCATGTATAATATAAGGTAAAATCGGTTTAAAATTGTTAGCAAGAAGTTTTGCCATAATTTTATAGAACACATTGTAGAGAGAGATGGGTCTGAAATCAGAAATTTTGGTAGCATGAGAGCCCTTAGGGATCAAGGTGATGGCAGAAGCCTTCACACCTTTAAGCAAGTAATTAGTATTGCAAAAACTCTTTACAACATTGATAACCTGTAGACCAATGATGTGCTAATTAAGCTTATAAAAAGCAAAAGTAAAACCATCTAGGCTAGGAGCCGAGATGCTTTGACCATCGAAGACAACCACCTTGATTTCCTCATTAGAGAAAGGAGCCATAAAGGGAGAAATTAAATTTGGGGGAACAATGTTGCTCGAGGGAATACAATAGTTAGTGACATTAGGAGGTTTAGGAGAGTTATAAAGGCCCTTAAAATGGGAATAATGTCGTCAGTAATGTCATGGTGAAAAGTGAAATAACCTAAGGGGGTAGTGATTTCCCTTAAGTTGTTTTGGTTATTCCTAGATCAGATTTTGGCATAGAGGAAACCCAAGTCATCTTCCCCCTTGGTGAGCCAATAGGCTTTTGCTCTTTGAGAATTCCAAGAGGCCCAGGAGGTTTGCATAACTTCCAATTGATCCTTATAAACTTCACGTTGTGATTTAAATGAAGATCCAAAGGAGAATTTTGGAGTTCTGAAAGACAAAGATGGTGCCTATTTTTTAATTCTAAGATGAAATTAGCAAGAAAATTTGATGAGGCCTAAGCATTACCTTTCAACTTCCTTTTGAGACTGCTATAGGAAGAGGCAACAGGGATGCAAGAAGTAGGCCGCCAAAAAGAAGTCAGGACCTCCTCCCAAAACCCATTCATATGAACTTAATAATTCTTGAAGAGGAAGCTGTGGGGATGTTGCAGTATGAGGAAACGTGAAAAACCAAAGGTGAGTGGTCATAACAAACAACATGAACAATTTTGTAAAATTCTTGGGGAAGGGCATTAAGTAAACTCACATTAACAAGAACCCTGTCAAGCTTAGTATGTATTGGTTGGTCTATCTATTGTTTTAACCAAATATAGAAGGGCCCACAGAGGCAAGATCTTGAACACCACAGTAAAAAATGACATTATTGAACTCCCCTAGCCTACCAACTGATAGGCAAGAGCCACCAGCTTTCTCAGAATTAAACCTACACCAGTCGATGTCACCCAAAACAATCCAGCGATGAGAGGCGTCATAAAAAAGGCCCCTTAATTGATCCCAAAGGATTCCCTTTCAGCGAACGAGTTAGCCGCGTAGATGACTGATAGGAAAATAGGGGGAAAAAACCTAGAAGAGAGGGTACCGTAAATCACTTGAGAAGAAAGAGTGATGAGTGAGAAGGAGAAATGGGATTGGTCCCATTTGATCCAAATTCTACTAGAGGTAGAAATGTTAAACTTATTGCAGCTTCTCTCATTATGGAAGAAGAGGTGTGAATTTATAAACCAAGGGTCTTCCAGAGCAGACGCCTTGATTTTAGCTTCTAAAATACATAAAAATTTTAGATTGTGGGAATTCACTAAATCCTTGCACGCATAGACTTTATCGGGGTTGTTGAACCCCCTCACGTTCCAACAAGCAATTGGAGAGAAGGACATGGGTTAGGATTTAGAGAATTTTTTCCTTTTTGGCATATTTAACTCTAGTAGATTTAGAGGTAGTGGGACATATGGGGTAGTTGGGGATGATTTAGTTTTTTGAATGTGGACATGATCAGTAGAGTCAGAACAAGAAGAATCGACGAAGATAGTGGTAGCATCTGGAAGGTGAGGGTAAGGATCATCAGCTGCAAGGGAGGCAAACTGATTAGTAGTTATGAGGGGATCTGAAGTGAGAGGGTAAAAAAGAATAGCATGTATGAGGGGTTGAGAAGGTTGGTCTAAGGAGGAAAGTTGAGAATTATTGGTTCTTTATCAGGAGGGGGGGAATAGGAGGTATCTATAGTCTTTAGTGAAGAAGTGGGCAGAGGTTTGGCCAAAGGGATGGGATTGGGATTGGGATTGGGATTGGTTGGTGGGGTCAAAGGTAGACGCGTATTAGAAGAGAGGGTAACAGGGCGATGTCGAGGATGTCTACTGGAATTCCGACCCCTATTTTTAGGAGGCTGTGGCAGTTAACGTTTGGGATTAGGATTAGAGGGGTAAAGAGAGAAGGGGTGGATTAGTGACCCGCAACCTTCACAATGAGTTAGATTCCAATCATATAAAATTTGGACAACAGGGTCTTCCCCATCAATTTGTAGCGGGATCTCATCCGGAAGAGGAGCTTAGAGATTTGGACACATATATTGGCAAAGGTTAAGCGGGTCCTTTTAGCAGTGAGAGAATTCGTAGAGAGCGGGATTCCAATATAGCTGGCAATCTTTGAGATTCCGGCAGGAGTCCATAAAGCTAATGATAAATTAATGATTATTATCCAAATAGGAACCGAAGCAGCCTCATCTCTCTTACATTTAAACTTGGGAGACCATTTTTGTAAAATGAATGGTTTCCCAAGCAGAAACCATGGACCAACCATCCAAACGATGTTGAAATCTTTACAATAAGTGAATTTGATGAGGAAAAAACCATCCGCAAGCGAGAGGAGAAATCGAACCTTTGACCTGCCAAACCATGTTCATGGTAGCAAGAAATATCTCGTAGAAGGGCCGAGGGCCAAGTGAGTAGCCCAATAGAGAAGGAGACCAGAGAGATGATCCTTCGGTGAGATCATCAGCAATAAATGAAAGCTTTGGGGTAGGAGGAACGAAGGGCATAAAAAAAATCCTCATGATTAGGGGGAGGGAAAGTGAGATTGTTAGCGTAAGAACAACCAGGAGAAATAGGACGAACCCCAAGGAGAGAAGAGAATGGGGGGGCGGGGGGAGGGGAAGTCATTTGGATTTAAGGCCATGCTCAGGAGAGGAAGGCCTCTTCCGGCGGGGGAGGCGACAAAAGAAAGAGGACCAAGAAAAATCCTAGGAATTCCATAGGCGAGAGCTCTGGCTATTCTCATTCATATAATCAGAATGTGTTTAATGAATGTTTTTCCCACCAACAATATTTCACAATGACGTAAAAGTTAATTATGATAATTTCTTTTTTCATAGATTGGACATCCATCCTTTTAGTGAAAGAGAAAATATTTAATTTTTTGAAGCAACGATTTGATTCAACTGTTATTCTAAACATCAATACTCTTCTATTTAAAGGGCTGAGACATTTCATTTGCTCGTGTGAGTGCATTACCCTCATTAATAGAAAATCATATAAGAAATAGGGCCAACCCAACTTGGACCTGTAAGTACTGTTTCTCTCTGCATGCTGTTTCGAGTAACTGTAGTAGTGATTTGATGTCTCGAGCCCATGCATTCTTTATAAGAAATATGGATGAAGAATTTATGATCCTTCGAAGGCATAATGAATGCCACTATGATCAATTAAATCATATTGAATTTCATATCTTGTTCACAAATAATCACCACAACTACTATTATAACCCAACTGAGGCCACAGACAGGCCCGAGATCAATTAAAAAATTAAAAGAAAATCATTTGCCATTGGACTGATTTCATCAAGGCCATGCCCAATCACTTGCTTTGTACTTGATGCTATCACATTCTTCTTACATGTTTGATATTCTTTGATCAGATCTTCCACACTGTAATAGTGAGAGGACTGGAAAGAGGTTCTGTCCCAACAATCCTTGCTTGCTAACGTACTCGAGAAAGAAAGAATTTATTGGGTTATGCAATCTTGATAGCTGGTGATCTCTCAATCTCTCCTGCTAAATGTTTACAGGAAGCGAGAAATAAGAAGGATGCTTCTCATGGACTGATGCTTCGGCTGCAATTTCAGTCGAGAGAGGCTATAGATGCAGACGATTCGATCTTACATTGATCTCGAAAGCTAGATCTAGCAAATAAAAAGATTGAACTTTTGAATGATCTTCCATTGTGGTTTCAAATTCAAAATCTGCAGGACTGTCTTCACCTCCTTCCCATTTAAGGGAAGTGCAATAAAATTCTCATAACAGTTGACCAATATCATTACAGCATCGATTTTTTAAAAGAAAATTACAACTTGATCAGACTTGAAGCAAGCGAGGACAACTCGAATGGCAGAAACAAATTGATGTGCAGTTTCTTTTGATTAGAAAGCTATAAAGATATATATATATATATTTATATATGTAATTCAAACATTCGGTTTGTAGAAGAACCTTACAAGAATGTTCTTCTACTTATATTGCAAGTTGCTGCAGTGAGATCAAACCAGATTTGCTTGAAAGCCTTTACGATTAGATCATGATACTCGTGTGAGTTCAAATAGAGGTAGCAAGAGAGAAGCTCCTCCATATCCTTTGAAGACCAAAGATTGTTTTGAAAGATCATCTCTAGCATGGAATCTCTGAAGTCACTTTGGGGGTCGAAAGACGATTTCACCACGATGAAGCTATCAGCCAAGCGATTCTTCTCTAGTAATCTCTTCTTCGCTAACTTAGGTGATTTCAATCGCATCTTAATTTTTGGAGTTTGCGGTGTGGACCTCCTCATATTGCCATGGCTATGGAAATTCCTCTGTTTCGAGTTTTGGTTTCCTACAGTGAGGTTGGGTCTACTGATTTCTTTCTTGAGAGGCTTCGTTACTATAGGAGGTAGAGGAATATGAAGATTGTAAACAGAACTATTTAATTCATCATTGAAGACGCCATCTAAGTTGTGCGGAGAAGTTTCATGGGCTGGTTTTGAGCTTAAAACAGAGGAACTTTCTTCTTTCCATGTTATGACAGAAGAAGCAGCTGAAGGGATGAGTTTATTGTGAGTGCTCAATGGCTTCTTACGAGGTTTTGTCTTGCTTTTTCCTGGTTTGTCTAAGGGTAAGTGAGTGTCTGTAGCTTTGGGGTACGTAGAGAAATAATGGAGTTGCTCTTCTCGGTTTCCGCTGGGAAAATAATAGGATCGTCTGTTTCCAATATAAGCTTCATTTTCTGGTGATTTTGGGATTGGCTTTTGATTTCCGAATGATTTACCTGTTTCCATGATAGGAACTTGGCCTTTCTCCAACGAATTCTTAACTTTCCTTCTTCGCCTGCTTGCTCTCTTTCCCATATCCATAAGCTTATAAAACCAAGAATTTGGCATCAATTCAAATAGTCTGAATGCCCTGAATCTGTAGCTCGCCTTCCCCATGAATACAATTCACCCAAAATTAGAAGTAAGACAAACAAGTTGACGAGAAACCACCTCTCTCTCTCTCTCTCTTTCTCCCCCCCTTTCTGCCTCTCTCAAAGCGTCTTTCCCAATTCAGAGCTGGAAGGACATGCAAGCAAGAAAGACAGCACTGTTTGCAATCATCTCTCTCGCTCTCGCTCTCTCTCTTTCTTAAACCGAGGCCTTCGAAGCACCGGTGGAAGAAAGAGAGGCAGTGAGTGTTTAAGCCAGTGGACGGTCCCAGCAGAAAGAAAAGAAAAAGCTTCGAAGTAAAATGGAGAGAGAGTTTACTGGTCCAAATCTTCAACAAGCAGCACGGTTTCTGCGTTTTCAAGTCACAATTGGACCTTTTTTATCGTTTGAACAGATGTTTTGGCCACTAGTTTAGTGTGGTACAGTGCTATTTTATTAAAATTTATTACAACGAAGTTGATTGAGGAAAATGTTCCATCGTTGTATTTAATAATGTTGTTGTTTATTATGAGAATAGCTTTTGGGAAATCGTCAAGCGATCTGAACTAAAATATAGAGATATAGGCTTCTAGCTAAGCTTATCTCTGACCTCATTTCATGGGCCATGAGTCGACAGAGACCAAACCTATCTTAGAAAATGGCACAAGCTTTGATTACAGATTTGTGTTTGATTTGCTTTTTACGTGCATTAATTTTCACTGTTAATGGAGGAATTTGTCAAATATATCATCATTGTGAACCTATTAGAATAGTCTGTTGTTGCTGTGCTGATAAGGAAATATAAATATCTCTATTAGTGTTCAGACAAAGAAGTTGAGATTCTTCATGGTTATCATGTTATTGGTGCAAATGCGAGGGCACATCTCAGCTGTCCAATCGGCATGGAACGGTTAGGATTGGATCAGTAAAAATTCAATTTTATTTAAAAATAAATACAAGTGGGCTGATCCTCAATCAGCCAAAATAGATCATATGATTGAGATGGGCAACTGCATTTGTCTGGTTAGTATGATAATTTCAGAGGATCTAGCCTGACAATCTAGAATGAATTAAATTATTCTTTTCTTGACTAAGAAGACATTTTAGTGATTGAGCCCTAAAAATTTTTTATCCTAACTTGCCCTAAAATATCTATATATTTCTTCACATTTAATTCTAATATTCTCTTTCATGATTTTTATGACAGTTTAATTACATCTTTTTTTAATTTTTCTTGCTTAATTTTTTTTAAATTTTTTTTCGTAATATATAGATATATAATATTATTTTTGTGTTGTATTTGCCCCCCCTCAAAATTGAAGCTGGTTCCGCCCCTGTATATACAAATGATTGTTATAATCAGTGTGATATTTATTACAATATGTGAAAAATTATTTGAAGCCCTAATTATTTGAGCCTAAGCAAATATTCTTTCTTTCACTAATAACAATCATCAAACATATCAATGGGTCATATCAAATTAATTGAGATGTATTGACATAAAAAAATCACATAAATCATATAATGAATGTCATACATATGTGATTTGAGCCTATTGATTTATGTTGAGCAGATTTTGGGTCAATAAGCTTTAGGTGGAATTAAATATAGGTTATTTTAATCCTCCATGTTAATCCAAATTGACACCCCTATACTCTCTCTCTCTCTCTCTCTCTCTCTCTCTCTTAAATTGAAAATTCTAGTTATGTGCCATGTAAGAGGTTGAAAACTCTTTGATCTTGGTGCATGTGCCCCACAATTCCCTAATTTTATGAAAATAAGGATGTGATGTAAAAAATATAATTATTGCAATCAAGTTGTTGGAATTTGCATTGAATATTTTATGATTTGTAGAGCTCAATGATAAGATGTTACTGTATAAATATTAGAATATTTTAGATATCTTATGATTTAGTGAGCTGAAAAAAAAAATACTATTTTTTTTTCTTTCAAATCCTTTGGATAGAATTTTAATTGTTTTGAATATTTCAAAAAATGAATTTTAAAAATACTTTATTTTAAATTGAAAATTCTATGGTAGATGGAGTCCTTTAAGATAGGATTATGCATCAAAATTTATGATTTTAATGCTTCATAGAATATCTAGCAAACTTCTAATGTTTCATGCACAAAATTAGGTTTGTCAAATTTTTAGATTGTTTGCCTTGTTTTATTACTTCATAGAATTTTTAGCTAAAGAGCTTATTTTCTTTGGAATGGGAAACACTTACATGCTTAAAAAAAAAAAGAAGAAAGTGGGTTTTAATTTGATTTGCTTTCTTTGACTTACCCTTTATTCTTATAGCCTTTGATTTTTTTACTATAATTGAAGTAAATATTAGCTATGATCATCGCTTCAAAATTTTAAAGTGAAATTTAGTTTGTAATTTTTTTTAGATGGCTAAATAAATTTTGGCTGCGTAGTAGCATAAAAAAACACAACTTTTCATTCAAAATGTCAACCATCATTTACCTTAACACTAGGTGAAAAAGGGAACATAAATATTTATTTACAAATTACATGAGATTAAGAAGTAACAAGTCAAGATGAATTTTGAGAGAACATTTTTCTGCCATGTTGATAAATGCGCTCAGAGTAAATATAACTTGATCCTTTTCATATAATAGATCATATTTGAGTAGAGCAGAGTGAAAATATTATAATAATAAAGATAATAACTAAATTGGTTTTGAAAGGTGGAAAAGGGTTGTCTAGAATGGGAAAGGGTGACTTGATTTTGTAACACATTTAATGTTAAAACTTCCTTGCTAAATAAAATTAGGTTTTCTAGGGGAGGCATGAAGAATATTAGATATGAAGTTTGGGATATTGGGAAAATGAATGTACTTTTAGGGTATTTTTATGAGTATTTTGAGTGCTAAAAATTTCAAATTGGTTGGTCATCTTGGATAAACAACTAGAATTGTCTTTTGTGTAATTAATTTGGCTTGGGTTTCTTAAAGGCAATGGTGATTTAAAATATTAAGGACTTGTGGGGTTTGTGGATAATGTGAAAGGAAGAAGTGACAGTGTTGGAGGCTTTTTAGAATTTTTAGAGTGCCGGATATGTGAGGGTTGCTAATTCTAGTTTGTAGGTAGGTAGCAGCTGAACTAGCGAGAAGAGGAGAAAAAGAATGGTTGTTATGATAACTATAGACTCACCAAAATTCAAGAAGGGGTTATTTATAAAGCTTCATGAAGATGTAAGGTAGCCACTAATTTTCTATAAAATTTTTGCACATGTAGAGTTTTATACTATTCAATAATAATTTAAGAATACAAAACATGGAGCATATGTAGGATCTCTTATAACTTTGGTCAACCCGTACATCTTTTGGAAAACATTTGGAGCCTATTACTATCAATCACATGGATTAGTGACATGAATAAATAATAAGATAATAGAGAAAAAATTTAACTAGCAAAATTTGGTCAAGCCAGTTGATAGAAGTGGAGTGCTTATAATCTTCATGCAATCTTCAAGCTATATTCTTTCCCCCGAATGAGTTTGGATAAAGTATGAGGGACAAAGTTTAAGTCTTTCTAAAATCACCAAAAAACTAACTTGGTGGGAGGAGTTCATGGCCAAGTTTCATTTATTTTTAATTTGAGCATTGATGAGAAGTCTTGATCTTGAAATGATGATTTAGTTTGTGATCATGTTCTTTATTTCTATGTTAATGCACTATCAACTCCATCATACCTCAAAGAATACATTGTTGTTGTACATATCTATCATTTTAGAGCTCTTGGATTGCACTTTGTTGTGTTATATCTATTAAATAAATCTCTATTATCTTATAATAATTTATATTTTGTTGTAATTATTATATTACACTTTATCATATCTACTTTGTAATATGATGATTCAATTGTGTTGAAGCTATCAAAATGCACTTAATTATATCCACTATAGGCAAATCATATTTGAGATATATTTGAATCATATTTGAACTATGTTTAAACAAGATACAAACATGATTATATCCTAATAAAAAAATTTAAATCTTATACAAACATAATTATAATTTATGTTGGTGAACATACTTGCTTGTTATTTAACAAGTAAATGTAGCACATAAAAAAGACTTTGATGATTAAACAGGGGATGGAAATGATGAGGGCGGATGGTGCAAACTCCAAACGCAAGGAGAACATCAACGCCGAGGCTATGAAGGTACCATAGGGCACCAAAGAGGATGAGATGATGGGGTGTGAGAGTTAGGAGGGAGGGAATTAGTGAGAAAGGAGAAGAACTAAATGAGTATGGGTGAGTGGAATTTTGTTAGCGTGGTGAATGAAGGATGAATTACATTGATGTCATGAGCACCATTTCCTCGATGTTGCGATCCCAAAGCTCTCACAAAGATGAGAGTTGGGTAAAATATTTAAATAGTCTAAATCTTATTTTAAGTATTTTGCAAATAAATGGAAATTTTAAAATGAACATATATTATTATTTTTTTATTGATCTTAAAAATAGTTCTTTTTAATAGGATCCAAAAGAGGGCCTTTGAGATCTTATATCACAAATTTGCATAGATATCTATGAGTTTTTCTATGTTATTTTTTTCATTCTACATGATAGATTAGAAAATTTAAATGAATGACATGAATCTCAAGATATTACTTGAATTGAAAACTTTGTAAATTAAGTTTAGGATCATATGAACTCTAATTTCAGCAAATTTATAATCAAATTGAATGTCTCCAATTTACAAATGATCCGACCCAACTTTAAATGAGCATAAATTTAGCACTTGAATTATATTTGAAAACTTCTGAACATAAATTGATGGACCAAATGGCTTCCAATTATAGCATGTTTATTATCAAATCAATCAATACAACGAGATGAAACTAAAGAGCTAAAGATCACCCAATTTTGACATCATTAAGACTTTTAATAAGTTATACAAAATTAAAGGGATCAATATGAACCGTATGGTGGAGTGCTTTGAATTCTAACCAAATTTGTCAAAATCTTTATCTCAAAAAGACTATAAATACTCATTATATATATAAAAAAAAAGATAGGTTAAAATTTGAGAGAACTAAAGAGCCATATTGCATTTGTCGCCTGCAGTGAGAATCAGTTAATTGTTCCCAAGATATTCCCTTCTCCATCATTTGTGAGGAAGGGAAAATTTGAAAGTGCTTTTGGCACACCAAGAGGGGGGGAGTGCGATGAGAGAGATTAGGGTGTGGAAGTGAATTGGTAATTTAGAAATCTTTTTCTTAAGATTAAAAATGGATGTTCAAAAGAGATTTAAGAGAATAATCTATTCAAATAAAATTGTAAGCAAAGAAGTTTTTTTTTTAACTTTTAGAAAAAAATATTATTTTTATTTTTAATTCAAAAATAAGAACGTCTACTAGAGATT